GCTGGACAGCTATTTAACACCTGGACAAGGTTTCAGGAAGGGGGCAGTGTGGGCTGCCTTCCTGCAGAGCCCCCATCAGAACTACTGTGCCCTCCTGGCTTAGGAAGAGAATAAACAGGAGGATTGGAAACCAACCCACCCAGTCTCACGTCCCCTAGGCAGGGAATGAGCCATCTACATTAGGCCCTAGCTGGAGTATCATATCCAGTTCTGGGTGCCACATTTCAGGAAACATGGAGAAACTGGAGAAAGTCCAGAGAAGATCAACACAAATGATGAAAGGTCTAGAGAACATGAGAGATGAGGCAAGGCTGAAGAAATTGGCCTTGTTTACCTTGGAAAAGAGAAGACCGAAAAGGGACATGAGAGCAGCTTTCAAGTATCTAAAAGAGTATCATAAGGAGGAGGAAGAAAAAATTGTTCTGCTTGACCTCTGAGGATAGGATGAGAAGCAATGGGCTTAAATTGCAGCAAGGGAGGTTAGGTTGGACATTAGGAAAAACTTCCTGCCTGTCGGTGGTTAAACACTGGAATAAATTGCCTAGGGAGATTGCAGAATCTCCATCACTGGAGATATTTAAAACCAGGTTAGATAGACACCTGTCAGGGATGAGCTAAGGCAACTCAACTTTGGAAGCCCCAGGGGCCACACTGATACTTACAGAACATGCTGAGGGCCTCAACTTAAGTGTGGTTCCATACGCAAGCAAATATATACAAATAGCTTCTCTCACACGGACAGGCATGAATACAAAGATTAAGGCAAGACTACACAACACACAGGCCCCATTTAAGTCGGTTCTGCGGATATGAATAAGATACAATATTTACCTGATTTCTACCCATGTGACAGCACTTTTCATGAGTAATGACAGTCCAAGAATTTAACTACAGACAGTCCCCGAGTTACGCGGATACGACTTACGTCGGATCCGCAGTTACGAACAAGGCCCTCTCCCTTGTCTCCAGCAGACCAGGGAGAGGAAGCAAAGTGGCAGAGCACGCGGGCAGCGGACAGCCCGGACACGTCTGGGCTGTCGCTGCCCGCGTGCTCCGCTGCTTTGCTCTGCTTTGCTCCCCGTCTCCCTGGTCTGCAGGCCAGGGAGACGGGGAGCAAAGCAGAGCAAAGCCGCGGAGCCCGAGGGCAGGAGGACAGCCACGGCGCATCTGGGCGGTCCCGCTGA